TAAATGCAATAAAATGTAATGTTATCAATGTGTGTCTTAAGTGTATCATTATTGGGATGCCAAAACAACTTTACACATACTTACTCCACTAGCTTCCAAAAGGAGATTAAGTATCTCAAAAGTAATCTTATGTCAAATATTGTTTTCTTGCTTTAGGAAATTTCTATAGGCAAGGAAGCTGGAGAACCTCAGTTTTATTAAAAATTCAGGACATTTTTACAAAACCCTGTTAGAGACAGCCTGATGAAATCAACAATGCTGCACTACAATTCTTTAAGGTTTCTAGGTATCAAGTTTATAGGAAGCTCTCAAAAAACCTGAATAACCTGCTGACTTTGAATTCTCCCCAATGAAAGGACAGGCTATATATTTCCTAAGATACACCGGCAATCAATAGTTTCTGACCTTTTCTTGGCCAATGCGCCCTATGGCATAGGGCTCTCTCCCCAGTTATAACTGTTTCACTATTAGAGTAATTCTTAACATAGAAAAGAAAAAGGAATAAAAGGGAGTAAGAAGAGGAAGAAAGGTATATAGTTAGTTTAAAAAATTAAGTAATTTTGATACACGATCCTATCCCTTTGGAAGCAGACAATTTTGGAAGCCTTGGGAGTACAGCCTCATATACTTAGTTTTACCCTACAGGGTCCCGTAACAACTTTCAGACAGGAAGCACATTTCTTAATACAGAAATATTCCTTATGTCTAATTGCTAGCAACAAATGTATTAGCTGAGATATTCTGCTGCTGAGTCAAAGAACAAAAATTTCCCCTTCTTTTCCACTTTAATGTTTAAGAACTAAAAGGGAACTAACTCTGAGATTATATAGTACAATCCCTCATTACAGAAATGAAAAAATTGGGGTTTGAAGGATTTAATGTACTGAAGGAAGGTCATAAATCTCAGTGACAGGGTGGAGGCCAAGAGCACATGTTCTAGCACTCCATGATCCAGGTACCGACCGCTGTCTGTGATCATCTTAATGGCCACATGTAAACGCATATGTATATTTTTTATATATTTGAGATATAAAACATCCAAAGTTATTCTACAGTTCATTTTAAAATTTAGGAGGCAGGACAATTTCAAATACGAAATCTTTAGGGCAAAACAGCAGCAGCAAAAACCTGTTTCCTCACATAAACCAACTGCAGTTCCCCTCAATTAACTCTTCTTATCTTGACTGCTTGCCAAAATCAAACTCATTATCTGCCTCTTCAAACACTCTCATGTATACTCCATGCTATATGTTATTATAAAACCAGGCACCTAAGCTTGAAGAGTCACTTTTGACCCTTCCCTTGCACTTACACAGCGGGACCATGAATCCCTGTTTACCTGGACAGTACAGGTTTATGCCTGTTATCTCAACAAAATGATTAACAGCATTCCCATTCTGTTCTAAAACAGAATTTAGCTGATAACTTATATGGTCACCCTCCTTCCTATAATCATTACTTAGTAATCAATTGCTGAGTATTTCTCTGACTGGCTTTCTCTTCTTCAACTCACTTTCTAATTTATTTTGCACAGGCTGCCCCTCTGTCCGATTACCCTCTCTTTCCATTTTGTGGATACCAATCTAGGAACTCAGGTCAGGCATCTCTGCTGTGAAGCCTCCCAGACTCTTCCAATAATTACCTGTGTCTCCTAAAATAGTAAGTGCAATACTAACAACAGGTTATAATTATTGGATGATTATTATACCCTTAGCTTAAGCAATTTTAAGTATTTGATCTCCTTTAGTCCTTATAATAACTCTCTACAATAGCTTTTCTTTTCCTTATTTTTTAAAATGTAGAAGCTAAGGCTCTGGAATATTAACTAACTTGGTTGAGGTTACAAAGTTAAGTAGAACTGGGACCTGAAACCAAATATGCATGATTCTAAGGCAAAGCTTTAAACCTCTCCCCTGTACTATCTCACCTATGCCACCATTAGTGGGTTTCTGTGTTCCAACATATTTGAGTGTTAGCTGCAACTCTGTCCCACTTGGTCAACTTGGCACTTTAATAATTCTCTGTACATACTTCATAGAAGGACCAGTTACAGAACAGTAAGTGTCCTCTGCCTCCCTCAAAGAGACTGCTACAACCTCGATGACAGGGAAAGGTTTTGCTATTCATAGCATATGTACCATGGCTCAAAGCAGGTAATCCATGAGGCCAAAAGCAATACAGTATTCAGTATTCACTGACAGATTCTGATGTGGAGAGTTGTCTCTTCTGCAATCTTACTAGTTAGAACGTGGTTCAGGATCTCTCTAGAATTAGGCTGAATTCAGTAAACTAGCAGCTTTTAAGCTTAACTTCATGGGATTTCTTTGGCTGCATAGTGTTATTTGTTAATAGAATTAGTTGTCAACATTTAAAACTTGTACTTTTTTTACATAAATGGAGATTTCTAGTTTCTTTTGAAAGACTGGGTCGATATTTTTAAATAACATAACAATCAGGCAGTAATGACTGTTGCCCTAATTAACTAGGGATGTCCTCTCCTACCCGATGTGCACTACTCTGTATGCATTTCTGGAAAATGAAATACTTCTAATGTGTACGTTTCTGTTAAAAAGCTATTTGTTCATTCCATAAATTTCATGCATTTGGCAAAACAACAGACTGGTAACTGTGGATTAAATTGCAAATTAACTAATAAAATAAACCAATGCTTCATGATAATATCACACCTCAAAAAGTACTACCAACATTATAATTATTTACTGATGGTCTTCATCAAATAAAAATGTACATTTAATGTGCTTTATGATATACAAACAAATATATCTGTATTCAGGCCTGTGACCTCTGGGGACACATAGAGTGAAAAAGAATTTCTGTGGCTAAGGACAGAGGGATAACCAGAAGATGGTGGGATCAAGCTTGGTAAGACCACAGGAAAACCAACCAACCCCACAGGGAATTAAAATGCAAAAAAGATACACTAATACATGTTCAGGCTGGAAATTTAAGTACCAATCAACAAAAGGTTGTCAACCATATGGCTTCACAGTAATAATATTTTAATTAATGTGGAAAAACAGTATTTTAATTAATGTGCAAAAATTAACTGCCCTGAACAACCAATCCTCAATTTTTGCTATGATATACCTCTACCTAATAGAGTGCATTAAGTATATAATTTAAATGTGTAAATGCTGCTTGTCCCATTTTTACTTCCAGAGACAAGATTAAATATAAGGCCACTTTGATCATTACAGCCTTGAAATATCCCTGGGGAAATAATGGAGAATGGTGAAAAATTCTATTAACAATCATTAATATGATCTTACAATTCACATATCTAGATGGTTATATATTATACTCATTTTAGATCATGGGAAACTGAGATAAATGTCAGCCAGAGACTGCCATCATTTAAGAGCAAAGCACATCATTACACAAAGGCCCAAGTTTTAGGCTTACTCAAAAGCACACATTTTCAAGGTCTCTGAAGATGTCCTCCCCTCCCACTCCCAGTAAAGATGGCATTTTATTTATTTTTTAAATTTTTTATTTTTATTGATTTTAGAGAGGAAGGTGAGGGGTATGGAGGGAAGAGGGAAAGAGGAGAAGGAGAAGGGGATAGAGAGAGAAAAACATCAATTTGTTGTTCCACCTATTTATGCATTCATTGGTTGCTTCTTATATGTACCCTGACCAGGGATCGAACCTGCAACCTTGGCATATGGGGATGACCCTCTAACCAAGTTAGCTACCCAGCCAGGGCATTATTTTTTCCCCTTTTTATTGAATTTACTGAGGTGACACTGGTTAATAAAAATAGGTTTTCGGTATATAATTGTATAATATATCATCTGTATACTGTATTGTCTGTTTATCACCCCCAAGTCAAGACTCATTCCATCACTATGTATTCCCCCCTCTACCCTACCCTACCCTACCTTCCCCACCACCCTCCCTGTTCCTCTAGTAATCACCATACTGTTGTCTGTGTCTATTTTTTTTCTTAATTCCATATATGTGATTTTAATTTTTAAGATAATTTTTAAGAACTTTTAAAACCTATACTACTAAAGTTAATAGTTTATCATTCTGAAATGCATTATATCTGATCATCCATATCACTTGTTTGTAAACTGGGCTCTGAGGAGTACCTTACCATCCACCCAAAAGATGGGAAAGCAAGCAGCCCCCTACTCCTAATAACCCTGATTTTATGTTTTGTATGCTGGGCTTTCATTTTAGATATTTTGAAGATCTGAAAATCACTCACGTCCTCTGAATGGTGTAACAAAATTTAAAGTAAACCAGTGAGGAAATAAAGGTCCTGTCAAATTTGGAGGATTTCATTCTCTGTTATAGTTTACCAAATTCCTGCTCCTCTTAGACTGTCTTGATTTCTAAAAGCAAGAAACTGAACTCTTAGAAGACCATGATAATCACATTCTACAACAGGGACAAAAAAGGTGTTTAAGTGATATAATTTGCTAATAACCTTTGTAAATAATTAAAGAGGACACCTTCCACTCAAGAAGCTCATTTATGTAGCACTAAAAGGTAAGAAGTGTACTTATGTAATACATCTAAATAGGCTCTGAGTAACACAATCATCTCAAACAATACTGTTCAGTACAAATGTTCAAATTCTCAACCTTATTGTTTACATTAATGTACTATACAGCATTTAATTCCTAAGGCTCCATATTGAAAACATAAAATACTCATTTAATGATGAAACTTCCATAGGAATGCAGCTCCTTTTGGTATCATACAATAGTTCATTAGGAAAAGTGGCAGCAGCTATGCTCTGAATATGAGTAAAGACAATACAGAGAAATATTGAATAAAAATATGTAGTTATAACAATTTATAAAGAAAAACAGTATGTCTGTTTAAATATCACTTAGATATTCGAGGCTATGAGACAACTGATGGAAATGGAAAGTGTAGAAGTAGCTATAGGGGGAAAACAAAAAGAGTTCAGTAGAGGTTAGTGAACAAATACACACCATCATCCATTATGGCCCACTCTGTCTTACCTGGGGAGGCGTAGGTATGGATGTGGGTCTCCCTATGGGTGGAGTAGGATTTCTGCTGCCACCTCCAGACATAATCTCTTCTGTTATGTCTTTACCTCCCTGGTTTGGATCCCGGATTCTTATCTATAAGGTTACAATAAGATGCCATTATTTACAGATGTGTGTCTATGTAGTAGACTTATAGGTATATAATGCATTAAAGGTGCAAAACTGGAAAATTTGTCAAATATTAAAGATGATAATAACACATTTGATTTTATTTCAATCACACAACCATATGGGGTCATTCAGAGAAATATAGGCCATTAGCTCTGACATGAACTAATTAAAATAACAAGCTAAATGAGACTTAGCTGGCTGAATTTCTAGGTCAAAAAGGCAAAATGTTAACATCTTTTAGGCATTGCCAAACTGACTGATTTTATTTATAATGCTTAACATAAAACAAGAGTCATAAAATAGTTTTAAAATATGGAAGATACTCTGCACAATAAAGTTTTAAAGGCCTTATATGGTTCTCTGACAAAATGAAAAATGTGCATATCCTAGGACTTAGGAACAGGAATTTACATTGTAGATAACCTTATATGTGTATGTAAGGATTCTCACTGCAATGTTTTTGCAGCATAGAAACATCTTAAAGGATGATGAAAAACATGGTAATTAAAAAAATTATGCCACATCCTTATAATTAAATACTGAATAGCCAGTGGAAAGAATGAGACTGATCTACATGTGTTGCTATGGAATGATCATAAGGATGTACTGAGAAGTGACAAGACACAAGATGCAGTTCAATGTGTATGGTCTTCTTCTTTAATTTCTTTAAAGGTTAGTTATGCTTATAGATGTCAGTGAACACGGTTCTATAGTAGAGTTGGAGTACCCAGGTCTGGGTCTTCCATCCTTGGACAGTGCTGAGACAAAGGTTTATCACTACTTCCTGAGCTTAATCCAGGTAGCCCTGGATTATTGAAAATTTCAAAGAATTCACTAATAAAACCATCTGGATCTCGAAGTTTTTTGGGAAGTAGTTTCTTCAGTAAGATTTCTAATATTAGCTATTTTTTTCAAGTTGAAAAGCCTGTTCCTAATACAATTTTAAGTATCTGTTCTACCTTCTTCTTCAGTAACATTTATTATTACTGTCCTCCATTTTCATTGTCTCCTTTACTAATTTTTCTGCATTCTGAAAGTTTAAGTCCAAAATCTACCATGCTGTTTCAACATTTCCAAAGAAGTTTCTCAACTTCAGCATCATGACTCATTTGCATGTCCTGCTTATTAGGATACTGCACAAGTAATTTGTTTCTAATGATAAAGAACCAAAGTACTGAACTTCACTCATTTTTACTAAATGAGAGTAATTTCAGGAGTATTGCTATAAAGTCATATCACTTATCTTACCTGTGTGAAAGGGGAAGTCTCTTATAGACATAACCTATTTTGAGTGTTCTGATGGATAAAAGATTGCAAGCCACTCTTCTACACAATGTTCTCCAATGTGAATTTTATGACTGCACTTTAATTCTCTTGGGCCTGCCTTACTAGACAGAGGCAAAGCCCATGTAACTTACTAAAAACAATTCTTACTAAATTCTTACTAAATTCTTACTAAATTCTGCTTTCTGTTTCTTAAAATATGTTCCACAGGGAGGATTTTCATTATTGTCCTTAACATTTTGCTCATTTTCTCTTGCACGATTTTTTCCCGTCAGTTCATATTTGAATGTAGAACTGACTAGGACTAGAGTTAAAGGACAATCAGGATGTGAGAACCAAGCTCAAATTCCTCTCACTTAGTAAGACCTTAGCTGTCTAAATCCTCCCAGTTCTGAAGCTGGGGGGCATGTTGTCATTTTGCATACCTAACTCAGTGCATGTTGAAAACTGAGAACAAGCAAATGGTACTTGCAACTCCTAGTTAAATGCCCATACAAATCCCCTAGGTATAGTGGTGAGGATATAAAAGAACAAAAAATGGCAGTCAGTTTGTGAAGTGAGATGTATAATGATTATAACTGTGAGTAAACTTATCTGACAAGTGAATGGATATTTAATTTTAAAATAAGAAAAATTAAAAAAGATCTCTTACTGTTTTTTTCTCTCTCTTGGCTGGAGGGGGCTGCTGCTGCGTAGGCACTATGATAGGCGCTGACTGATACACTGGCTGACTTGGGTAAAAAGGCGTTCCTAAGGAATTCGAAAAGAATAAAAAGAAGCATTCAGTTATTCTGTCAATCACTGTAAAACTATTAATGGCACTGTGTCACTGTACCATCAGTTTTAAAAAGTAACAAAAACAAGCATTCTTCTTATTCATCTCTTTCCACTAGCTCCCCTCCAGCTAATAAAGTGGTCAAGAATGATTCCCAAAAACTCATGAACACCTATCTTTTCTTTGGCATCTGATATGAAAACAAATAACCAATCCCTCTTGATTGCCACTAGAGTTACCTTTTCCAAACACTAATCATCCTATAGCACTGCTTTAAGAAATCTATTGTGGCAGTCCATTACCTGCAACAGTGATTCTCCACAAGAAGATGTGAAAATGTATTTTGTATGTGGGTTTGATTAGGAGCAGGAGAATATATCTGATCATCTTGGGGGCGGGAGGGAGTGGTCTGATTCTTCTCCTTACTTATGGAGAACCCCTGCCACAGAAAGCCATTATTAAGGCTTGGCAAATGTCCTACTTTTTAACTTACAAAACTTTGGCTATTATTGCAATTATTATTAAACCACAGTGCATAGAATAAATGTGGTGACAAGGGGCCAGACACTGGAAACGATGAAGATGGAACTTACAGATCTGCTGATGTGGGCATGTGAGAGAAAGAAGTACCAAAGAAAACTCTCAAGGTTTTTTGTCTTAGCAAGTGGAATAAGGAAGGTGCTATATAATGTGCAGTTTATTTGCTTACTGAAATGAGGAAAACTGGAAGAAGAGCAGAGTTAAGGGCAGAAAAATCAAGAGTTCAATTTGGGACATGTAAAGCTGGAGATTCTTATTAGACCTTCATATGAAGATATCAAGTAGGCAGAAAGAGACATAAATCCGGAGTCAGAGAGCAGGTATCCATTTTGGAATTAATAGAATATGGACAACATTTAAGCCATGAGGTGATAGGTATGATGAAACCCAGCAAAGGAGATGAAAAAGAAAACTAAGGCAGTGGCTGAAATGAAAAAAATGGTTCAAAAATGGGGAAAGTGCTTAACTATGTCAAATGGTGCTGAGATGTCAACTAAAATTTAGCCAAGCAGAATTCACTGGTGACCCTGACAAAAGTTGTTTGGGTAGGGTTGGGGACATGTATTCTGATTAGAGTATGTTCAATAGTGAGTGAGATTTTTTAAAAAATGAAGAAAGCTGAGTAACTCAGAAAGTTTAGATAACTCTTCCTAAAAAGTTTTGCTATAATAAGGATCGGAAAAATGGGCTATAGAAAAAATAATCTTTATTAAAAAAAAAAAAAAAAAGATTGGAATGAAAAAAATATACCTGTATGTTGATGGGAATAATCCAGCAGAGGGAGAAAAAGATGATGATGTAGGCAACAGAGGCTAGAACTGTTAGAGTAATAAACTTAAATGGGTACACGATGGGATCCAGTGCACAAGTGGGAGACTGGTCTTTGGTGGGAGCACAAACCGTTGAGTCACGGTAAAAGGAAAGAAATGTTTATGAAGATAGCTGATACAGGTAAAATCCTTGGTACTTTAGCAGAGTCAGATAACGTTGGCTCTAATCACTCTCATCACATGACAATGTCATCACCATCCCCACCACCATCTTAATCTTCAGCTGGAAATCTCTTAGAAGTGGAAGTACGATTTGCAGTACCAGAACTCTGCAGCTATCAGTCAAGTCTGGAGAATCAGATTTGAAAAAGATCTAATCAGAGGACATGACTGGGATTTCAGTGAATTCACTGTAAAAAGACAGAAAAATCCTTAGCCATCCTTTAGTGGTGAGTAAACTATCCTCAAAGGAGAGCTCAAATAAGCGATTTATGCTACTCTATTATGCCTCTAACTCCAAAACTCAAAAAACAAAACCCTAAATTGGTTTCAAATGCTGCTAGAGAAGCAATACGATCTGCTTACTGTGCCACATTTTTTAAGCTAAGTGAAATAAGATCCAAAAGGTGAACCATCCCTTAAAAAATCAGATTCTGCTAATGAAACATTTTTGAGTCAGTATGACTGAGACCGAGGCTTCTGCATAATATGCATGCAAAAAATAACATGATTAAACCTGGCAGAGCAGGATAAACTCAACAGACTGGGGTTAAACACAATTAGTAAAACATTAAGTCATCTATGACTTATGGTGAAAAGGCATTCTGCCCTAATAAACAAGTTTTCTTTCCTAAACTAATCCAACTTCTTATATAGTCAAGGACATTTAAAAACATTCAGTTGTATTAAACCTATGAATAACTTTTGCATACCACGTATGAATTAGCCAAGCCAATGCCTCCGGACTTCTTCATGAAACGAGGTCAGTCTGTCTACATCAGGGTACTGTCAGCTGAAGCCCATTGGCCAAATCTAGTCCAAGGCCATTTATTTTGTAAATAAAGTTCTGTTGGAAGACTACCACATACAGTAGTTTTATATATTTCTATGGCTGCTCTCCCACTACAAAGGTAGAGCTATATAGTTGCAACACAAATCACATAGCCTACAAAGCCTAAGATATTTATTATCCGGCCATTTAAGGAAAAAGTTTGCTGACCCCTATGCTAGATCAGTGGTACCCCAAACCCCAGTCTATACAAAAGGTGTCGATAACATAAGGCAAAATTTATATAATAATAACCATAAAACACACAAATACACACACACACACACACACACACACACACACACACCCCCCCCCCCCCACTATACTGGACATTTCTTTGGAAAAGACTGTTCCTATTTTGAAATTCAGACTTACTCCTTTGTTGTTAAAATATCTCTTCCTATATGAAATCATATTTAGGTAAATAGCAGTTTTTCTTTAAAAGTCTGATTTTCAAAAATAAAAATATAACAGTCTTGTATGTTTCTTCCTTCATTTTACTTTGTATTTATTTTACTTGCCCAGGATATTGGAAGATCTGGAAACTACTGGTCTAGTCAATATTTAGATTTCTTCTCATTGGTTAAACCACAAACATAAACATTAAACAAATTTACTATAAGATTCTGAAAGGCCGGGAGAATATCTCAACATCTACATTCCTCAAAATACTGAACACAATGTCTCACACATGGTAGGTCTTCCAAAAATCTTTCAAAACCATGAATTTTCCATAGAAACAAAGAAAAACATAGTGTTAAATATGAAGGTCACCACATAAAAATCAGTTCTCTATAGAATACCCAGAACAATAATAATGTTGGAATACAACCACATTGCCAAATTCAGTATTACTGCTCCACGAAAACACAATCAAGTTCAACGTGGGATGCCAAAAAGTTTCCCATTTCAACACATCATGGGGAACAATGACTTCCTCAGCTCTTACAGGCTGAATGAGGTGTCCAAGCCCCACACAAAGAGGCAGGAAAGGAGCGGGAAGATGATGGGAAGGAAAAATGATATGGTAGTGAGACAAAAGGAGCCTATCCTGGTATGAAACAAGGGAAGATGACACCTTCTACCACTAAATTCTCAATTTTTTTTTTTCTTTCTCAACATAACTGCCACCACTAACCATCCATATACCCTTTTACTTCCAAACCTAAATTTTTCATCTTGGGCCATCACACCCTTAAATTGGCTGGAAATGATTTCAATCGCCATGAGGTTATTTTTCTGATATAACAAGCCATCAAAATATTTAAGAAACACTAGAGAAATATTGAAAAGTAACACTGTAGAAACGAATTATATTTTCTAAACAGAATTCTATGACCTAGGTTACTGAACTTCAGTGTATGTTGGGAAATGCCTGGGCTGGTTTCAGAGGCTGTAACCCTGCCAGCAGGCTGGAGGGGACCAAGGCTGGAAATAATCAGGAGGCCTTGGGAAAGCAGGCTCCTGAGGAGACTTGGCCTGTCCCCCACTGGCAGGGGCATAGCCCCTGCCTCTCTGCTTTTGCCATTGAGGGCCAATGGCCAATGACAGGTAAGTTACCTCGCGCTGAGATAAACAACCTAAGACAGGTATTGGCCAGCACTGGCAGTAGACAAGAAATGGGGGGACACGGAGAAGGGGCAAAAGGGCCAGAGTCCTCACTGCAGCTGAGAAGCAGTCTCCTTATCTCTTGGTGGTTCCCTCCACCCCCCACCCCCACCCCGGCTCAGGCTTGAAACAGTGCAGGAAAAACAGCCCTAAATCAGATATGGCGGGTCCCGGGGTAATCAGGCCTAAAAGTAAATTCTTTAAGTGTGCTCGGTTCCTCCCTCAGATCCCTGGCCAGCTCTTGCTGCGAAGAACCTTCACGTTATTTATACCCTTTACCCTTTATCAGTAAGGCGCTTGCCCTTATCTTCATTCTCTTTTGTTTATACTGGTTTATACTGGACCCATGTAAATCAGTGAATTCCTGTCACTTGTTTTCTTAAAAGTATCTATTCTCTGTGAAACTTAACATGCTAATATAACGAGTGTAGTTATGCATTCCTGTTGCCTATAAGGTTTTCAATAAAAGCCTTGGAAAAAAGGACGATGGGGACCTTCCCCACTAGAGGGATGTGCCACGGCCTTCTCCAGTAAGGGGGAAGTGCCCCCGTCTGCTCACCCGGCAAACAGAGAAGTGTTTGAGACATTTTGTGTTTATTCCCCCTCATCCGTGACAACTCCGGGACTGGCTCTGCAGGTTTCAGAGTCCTACTCCCACCTCAGCTGGCCCTGGCCAGTTTCCCTCAGGTTCAGGGAGCACTGCACAGTGCTCCTATAGCCACTGCGCAGTGCGACAAGCGTGTGACATATCACTTTGAAAATCACTGTTCAAGATTTAAATCAAATAGGGGGGTAAAATGTTAGCATGCTGAGTAAACTGTAAGGCTAGGGATGAAGAAGTTAAGAAATCTGAGGAAAACAACATCCAACTCATAGACCCCAGCAGTAAGACAAGAAGAAACAAGTCTAGGATCTGTCCCTGGTCAGTTCAGCCAGAAGAAGGTCACTCTGCCCTAGAAGAGATGCCTCCATTTGTAGAACAAAGACCTAGGATCTCACCCCCAAGCCCACTTTTTACCCCAACCCAAGATTAGGACAGAAGTGGTGGAAGAAAGGTGAAGCATCAAGATCAGAAGCACTGGAACTGGAAAGATAAGAGTAGGAAAGAGTCCAAGAAGAAATAGGAAGGGGAACACTTTTGGCTTCTAGACTGTAAGACCAGGACAGCTAGCCCAAGGCAGTATCGCTGAAGAACCTGTAATTGATGGGAACTATTGGAAAAGTTTTAATTTGGATAAAAGTATACAAACTAGTGGCAAACTGTGAAATTAAAGTATCTGCCCAAATAATGAAAATAATCTAACCTTCTATCAGTAGAGGACTAGGTTAATAAATTATGTTTCATTTCTAAAATGAAGTCTACATATCTTGAAATTCTATGGGTAATGAAATGGAAAGATGTCCATGAACACAGTGAGATTAAAAAAACAAGTAAGTTTTAGAACATTATTAAAAATGTGTGTATCTGCATTAAAATTGTTTAACTATAAATGGAAAAATATGTATCAATCTGTTAAGTATTATTTCTTTAGGGAGTGAGGAGGGAGAATATTTCAACTTTACGTGTTCTGTATTATTTGTATTTTTCATCATTAACTTGATTACTTTCATAATGAAAAATTTTAAAGTCTTTTTCTAATCTTAATGAAGCTAGGGAAACAGTGTTTTAAATTAGGTGATAAAATGCTTACAAGTTGGCTATTGGATCTGCATAAGAATTTCCTCACAGATAAGAATATCTATCAAAGGAAACAGACATCAACTATATATGAGGTACACTGTACCTCAATATACTGCTTTTTTATAAAAATGAGCAAATGCAGTCTGTATGTAATACAAATAAAGCCAATATATGTTACAATATTGTATTTGAATCAGCAAGTTACTTCCCTACTAGTAAACTCATCTATATTGTTTCTATATATACTGCAATAGTACTATTAAGAGAAAGAAAGAGGGCTAGTACAGGCATTATTTTAATGAAGACATTTTCTGAGTCAAAAAAAGCCATTTACATACATAACCTATAAATACACAATAGACTAGAATTCAATGAGACATCTTTCAAAATTAGTTGGTAAATTAGAAGATACAATTGCATTCCCTTTGCAACATGGGATTGAAAGAAAATTTTATTAATTTTAGCATGTTTATTGGGATAAATAATCTCATCCTACTGTTTTTTCCAACATATGCTAATAATTTCTAATGAACACCAACAGCCAATTTTACACTTAAAGTAAGTTTAACTGGATTTAAGTTTCCAGAATAAGTACCATTACAAAGGCTCTAGAATTGGGTGAAAACTGAAACTGAAAGCTGAGCTCAAAGGGTCTATAAGGAACACTTCAACGGTCCTAGCAACTGTCTAAGCTGGGTAATGCACATATATTATTTTACTTTAACACTTACATATATGTAACATGTACTGTTCTAAAAAATTCAATAATTTAGTGAAAATACAATATTATGAAGTCATTTTAAATAAACATATATCCAAGACATTTAATGATCTACCAAAGTATATCATTTTAAAAGGGCCATTTCACAAGCTGTGCTGACCGAGGTCATGGAAAGACTGTCTGTTTTATAAAAAGAAGTAACATTTGTATGATTTGCCTGTTTCACCTCAAAACCTAAAGGAAACTTTCTTGGGCTATTCTAATATTAATCAATTCTGTTGCAAAGGTTCTTAATTGAGCCATTAAATCCCAATGTTTAGAAATTGGTTAATAGGAACATGCTTATTTATAATAGATTACCATCTTAAAAGAACAAGTTAAAATTTTAATATGTCCTTTAGTTAAAAAGATCAATATTTAGTGAATCTTAAAGCTTAATTTTGTTTAGTATTTGATGATTTTATCCCTTATAATTCACTTTCTATGGAATAAAAAAGTATAGTATATGACAGAAATTTATTGAATAAAATTGGTTATTTTCATTACTCCTCAGTATTGGTTCACACAAAGCATACTCATGGCACTTATTTCTATACATAAAAAATATTTGTAATTTTCCAAGGCATTTTCACTTAACTAATCCTCAAAACCTCCCCATAGCAAGATCTTATTAACAATTTTGCAGAAAAGGAATCACAGGTATACTGAGTTATATTCACTCATCCTATTCCCTACCTTTGTGGTTATTACATTCCTTTTCTTTTTTTTTTTTTTTTTAAGATTTTATTTATTTTTAGAGAGAGAAGAAGAGAGGGAAAAAGAGAGGAAGAGAAACATCAATGCATGGTTACCTCTCGTATGCCCCCAACTGGGGACCTGGTCCACAACCCAGGCATGTGCCCTGACTAGAAATCAAACCAGCAACCCTTTGGTTCACAGGCTGGCGCTCAATCCACTAAACCACACCAGCCAGAGTGGATATTACATTCTAAGTGGGAAAACATTAATAAATGTTTTCGTAAATGGCAGGAAAAGCTTACAGAAGAAAGGTAAGGTACATTTGTGCCATCAGCAAAAACCCAGTAAAAGATGAGTTGGTAGCAGATATCAGAACCTAGATATGTGGGCTCTCAGCAACTCCTTCAGAAGGTGTCTTTAACTAAACACATTTCTGTAATACTCTTTCCTTGTAAGCCACTCTGGAAGAAGTAGCTTTCAGTAAGAATATTTTTAACACTTTATCTACAAATAACTTCATACCACTAAATCTCATTGCCTAAACTGACCTCTCGAACAACAAAATTGATTAAACACAACAAACTAGCAGAAATTACTCAATTTTTCACACTTACCATAGGCATTGGGGAAGTCCCCAGGTCCTGGTCCAGGATAAAAAGGACCTGGCCCTGGTGGCTGAACTGGATACTGTTGTGGGGGCCCAACATAAGGAGGGCCACTATGACGGTACTAGAAGGAAGAAATCATAGACATTTATAAATAATATGGAGGTAGCTTACTATGAAAAATAAAGTATGGCCTGTGCATAAGAAAATCCTTTAAATGAGGTGAAGCCACTTGGTTAAAAACGCTCACTTGCAATGAGAATGAAGGGAAAAGTGTGCCTTGCCTTAAAACCATACAGCAAAAATCAGTGCACAGGCAGATATTAGCTTACTGTAAAATTATTCCAGGTTGGTAGCTTTCACTGACATGGAATGATACTACAGGAATAGCTTAATTACTGAGACTATTTTAAAGCAGGTGGTTGTGGGGAAAGGATGGGAGGAGAGCTAGGAGACAAAAACAATTTCTGTATCATGTCAGAAAGTTGTAAGTAGAGAGATGTAGAAATATCTTTTTATACTATTACGGAAAATTACAAAATGGGTAGACTTCCAACCAACAGAAAAGTCCACACATAACTAAACACTAATGCCAATCATCCACCCTCCCTGCTCCCGCCAATGACAACTTGAGTTAATTCCGACTCTACTGTTGGACCACATGGACCTGAGAGATACTTTACCTGTGGTATACAGTACTGAGGACCCTGGGGCACTGGGTACGGCATGGGCAGATGGTTAACCATCATGATGTGCTGATTGGCCTGATACACTGCAGTGGGTGTCTGTGCACCAGGGCGAATAGAAGGACTGCTGTTCGGGATGGTAGCTCTAGGAGGCTGTATTTGAGGCCTCTGAAAAAACTGAGGAAGGGAGAAAAAAAAATATATTTATTATTATTTTTTTTTAACAAAGGGGGATAAGTAAATTTTACTATCCTGAACTTTCTCCTTTTTTCCACTAATAAAAATCTTACCAATTTGAATGAGAAATAAAATATACATGACAAGAGACAAGACTGCCTGTAGCTGGGTTCACAAAAAAATATTTCATTCCACTAGGTTAAGTTTTAATCATGGTGTCACACATTTGAAAACAGGAGAGCAGTGTCATTTTTAAAATGAAGTCTCAGCTAATTTAAACTAAAAATTCCACACCATAATTAATAATTTTAAAATGTGTGATAAAACATAATAAAAGGGGTAGTTGGTGTCTCTCCAAAAGTTGTTCTGTTGTACAAAAGCATTAATTCTTTCATAAAGAGTAGGTGGACTATTAGCAACTTATTAAAAATTAAAAGCAATTTCAAAAAACTACAATTTAAGTCATTTACAAAAATATTTAGAAGAACAAGAATCTCTCTGGACATAAAAATTTTCGTCTCAGTCTATCAGGGTTAAGTTAAATTAAAACTATCTGTAGGTTGTCGCCTGCTGATTGCCCTGTGATGGTAAAAGTCTTCCTTTCAAAAAGTGGCAACCCCATACTAAAATGAACCCAATTTTGCTTTCTCAAATAGTCTGCAATAAAAATGGAGGGTCTAGACAGACTTAAGAATAGGCTGGAAGGAGCAGAGCTCAAATCTCTTAAATGGCAACCAGTACTCGCGGTTATTTACAGTTCTCACTTAAAACTTAAAAGACTTGAAACAATATACCAATATTAAATTCCCACTTTGATTTCAGCAGCAAACAATCCTTCTCATTGTTATAGTAGTAACAATAATAATAATAATTAACAATAATAATAATAATAATAATGGGATAGAGTAATAAAGAGGCCATGCAGAACCAGTAGTTTGTTACCTGGATAGGTCTGAATCCTCCCTTCAATTATGAAGCAAGAAAGCGGCAGGAAACAGAAAGAAAGCCAATGGAAAAGCTTATAGATCAGTAGAAAGGGGTAGGGCATAGCATGCAACTCAACAAAAATATCGATTTAGTAATAATAGGAAAAGGAAGATTAGAAAATCCGAATGACAGTTCTCCCTTGAAAATTCAAGACCAGCAAAACTGAAGAATCAAATCACATTTAATTAAAAATAAATAAATCCAGTGGCAAAAAAATATTCTAGTAAGTAGCCACAGTTATAACAGCTTGAAAGGAAATGTCTGCTTAATGGCACAAGTACAGATGGGACTGCTGATTCCTACTCTTGGCTCTCATGGATGGCCATTACGTGGTTAGTTATTTAGCGTCCCTAGGATGCCCTCTACAGCTTCAATGGAGATAAGAGCTAATAATAACAGTGTCACTTATCATTTTAAAGCTTGCAACATATATCAGACTCTTCATGACAGAAACCTGCTCTTTTCAACTAACCAGGCATTCTAAAGGCCACTTACAGCTTTAAAATAGGGAAATTTAATGCCAGTCAAATATGTGCTCTAGCTCCAAAATCTGAGTTGCCTCTCAATTCCAGGCATGTTGCTATTGGTCCAAATACAAGCAAAGCTGACTTTTGACCTTTGGGCCCACTCAGGTCTTATCGAGTCCTATTCTTAATCATTATACTACCCACAGGTGGTAGAAGACATAACTTCACATCTTCTGCTGAACTGGAAGAACAGGGTTCCAGTGCCCAAGGCTCATTCCCATTCAGCCTTCATAGCCCACAGCAAAAAATAAAAATAAACAAAAAAAACTAAAGAGGTTAAGTCACTTAAAAGCAATAGACAGTAAGGTATAGCCCAAGAATGATGTAAATAAGGAAATCAGATGGGGAAGGCCACAGAGAGTAGTTGATGCAGATGAAAAGAAAGTACGAGAGGCAAAGCTGGTAACAGAGAAGCTTGGTCTGAGCCACACAAGAGCAACGATCTTCTCTACTAGTCGCCACTGACACAGCTTTCGTGACAGACTTAACAATTTCAGTTGGCAGCAACCAGGGACACTGAACTAGTAAACTTTTCACACTAAACTTCACTTCTCTTAGTTATGTAGCAGATAAAATCTATAATTCATCAATGTATGTGAGTTGCAAGAACATCTGAGGAATAAACAACCATTTTTGTAACTTAATTTATCAGGAGCCACAAAACTGTTATGGACCTCAAGGAGAGAGGAGTTATTCATGTGCTCAACTTATCGAGCATTACAGATGTTAGACACACTAGATAAAAATATTAATTCTAGATAACCCTTTTGAAACAACTCTTAGAGGGCAGCCAAGACGAGGAGGGTATCAAACAGGTACAGGTGATGATCCACTGTGGCTATATTATCATAAAATTTTTCAAAGTACTTATTGCCTGAAAAAAAGAGGGTTATGGTGGGAGAGAGAGAGGAAACTAATCCATTTACTCATGCAGAGCAAGGAACATAGATATGGGCAAAGTTTTCCCATAATTTCAATAGTTTACTATATGTGAGTACTTTCCTTACCATTGCTTTCCAATGCTCTGCTAGGATTTTTAACTAGCCTGTCTAGGAAAACTAAGGTTACATCTTATTTAAGGGGATTTCTGAATAGTATATGGTTTTTCTTCAGCAGCTTTTAAAGAGAGTCAAGTGTTTCAATGATACTCCTAATACGAACATATAGCTGAGCCACTAAAACACAAAATTTGATGTTATGTGGACCTATAAAATTTTTAATAAACTAAGATTTCAACTTTGAAGCTAAATGGAAAAATGTATTCATAGAAGCACATTAAATAACAATGGTTAAGATTTATATAGCACTTACTAGCTATCAGGTACCACTGAACCTTTTACATATACTGTATATTAACTTAGCTTCACAACGAATCTCTAAAGCAGGTACCATTATTAACATCCCCATTAGACAGATGAGGAAATAAAGAGAAAGGAAGATTAAGTAACTTGCTAAGGTCTCTCATCAGTAATTTAAATACAGTCAGGTTCTTGGTCTGTACTTTTAACTGTTATATACTCCACCTCTCATGAAATGGAACATCCCTTGTATTTTCAAACGAGTGTGCTCAGTAAGAAGAAATCTTTTTTTAAAGGCTTAAGTGATGTGGCAAATTCCTTATCTAACTACATTAATGAGTAGAATATCCCTCAACCATAATTGATTCCTGGTAAGAAAAATGCTACACCAGTTACTTCACAAAATATGTTTATCATTCAGGAAAACAATTTTTTTTCTACCTATGGGGCTCCAATGCTCTCTCCACTTTAAAGCAACAGAAATCTGTTCATATGTTTTTATATCTTGATGCAACAAAGATTTTTACAAGGACAGACTATCTGAATCTTGTCCCCCACCTGCTTTTAAAAAGCTCCCCCACCCCGTACACGTGCGCGCACGCACGTGCACAGACACACACAGTCTAGTATCTACAGGACTAGAAAAGATGTGATAGCTCAAAATGCAAAAAATAAAAAGAGATGGGTCCTCATTATTTTTTGTTTGTTTGTTTTTTAGAGAGGGGGAGGGAGAAAGAGAAAGAGAAAGAGAAAGAGAAAGAGAGAGGGGGGAGAGAGAGAGAGAGAGAGAGAGAAGCATCTATCGGTTGCCTTTCCCACGCCCCCTACAACCCAGGCATGTGCCCTGACCACAAACCAGGAACCTCTGGTTTCTGGTCTGGTGCTCAATCCACTGAGCCACACCAACCAACCAGGGCTGAGTCTTCTTTTTTGAATTCCTTCTAACCTAACCATTCAACTGTAAATAAAGAATTAGATTTAATAATAGTATAGGAAATTAGGATTACGCGGGTGGGCACAGCAGCAAACTATAGGAATATACCTGACTTTCATTAAATAAGTATCTGTTGCTGAATGAAAGAGCAATATATCTTTCTAATTTTGGTCAACTATGTTTTCATTAATAAAACTAAGAAACACAGGAGCTCCTTTGTCAACCACATTTTACTACTCATTGGTACTGACTCATATAGTTGTATTTTGAAGCTCATATTAGGAATCTTGTAAAAACATATCTGTTTAGATGTGTATTGTGAGGCTAATATATATATATATACACACACATATATAGTGTTTAGAGTGGTACATGACAGCTAGCAAGTGGTATAAAATTTAGAATTTCAACCCATGACTTCAGATTGTACAGATTTTTTTGAATTAAGAATACAGCACAGAATGTCAAAATTTCATGACCATCAGCAAACGTGACAGGCATGTTATTAACCCAAACACTGGTAAAAAGTGTTGAACAGGGCTACACAGAGAAGAATCATGTACAACACAACTATCATCTCCAAATTTGATTTTAATTAGTTTTAAGTATTTTATCTTTCAATGGTCTACTAGTATGCCAAGAGAATGCAAAGGAAGGCGACAGGCCTCATTTGAAGTGGTACTTTGGGCAAATCCAAATCACGAGACCTTAGGGTACTCGTGATTGCCAATTTCACAGAAACACCCTAGAAGCCAGAAGAAAAGCATTCCTTTTGGAAAATTGTTCTAATGATGTAGGAATTATACCATTACCCAAAGTTTCCTGGCCAATAACATTGGTAATAAACGCTTTTTGAATATGCTGGTAATTACAACATATTTCTCATGACCTTGGCTCTCTAAAATTATCGAAAGACAAAGATATCTCTAAAAAACTGCATAATAATCATAAATCTGAAAACCACCTATTCATTTTCAGCAACTAGAAAAATACTATTCAATCACATTGGTTCTTCCCATGCGGGAAAAAACTGAGTGTATAAAACTGAATGTATATATTAATTTGCAAACCAATAGAAAACACGTCAAAAATATGCTTCTGAAATTCCTAGATTTTTGGACATATAGTTCAGCCTACTAGAGGGATAAATAATAGATCTGCAATTAAGAATATTTTAGGTTAATATTGTTAAAAATTCTAAAGTACTCTTGAAAAAAATAATAGTGCTATGATTTTCTGACACATAGTAAAGCATCTGCACAATGGAATGTCACTCAAGTGTCACCCACACTTTCCGCTAATTTACAACTCACAATGAAGATTATTATTTTAAAATTTTTCCATATTTTCCTGCATGTGGTCAGTATCACATAATTTAGGTTTCACTGAGAATTAGAAGATATAAGTCCTAAAAAGCTAAGCTGTCCAAATCAGTAACCACTAGCCATGTTTGGTTACTTAAAATTAATATTTACTTAAAAAATCAGTTCTTCAGTTGCATAGTACAACTCAAGTGCTCAACAGCCAAATGTGGCTAGCAGATACCATAGTGAACAGTGCAAATACAGAACATTTTTATCATCACAGAAAGTTCTATTAGACAGAACTGCCCTAGAGGATCATGTTAAATGGAGGAGAGAAAGCCCTAAGGATTTTGTCAGGAACAAGAAGGTGTTCTGTCAGATCATAATGTAGAGCCTGGGAAATAAGCATCCTTGTAGAACACTTCATTTTGTAGGTAAAAATAGCCTGGGAAAGGGGGAAAAGTCAGGCTGTCTCACTGCTCAAAGAAAATTGACGCTTACCAATGACTTATGAGCCAGGCACCGTGACAGCCAGGTACTTTAACACTTACAACACCCCTAGGAGACAGGCGTTGTTATTACAACACCTCAATATTCTATCATGTATGAGACTATTTTATCAATTTCACAGATAAATAAACTGAGGCCCAAGATTAGTTTGTAGTAAAGCTAAGACTGAATCTCAGTTTTATCTAGTCTTAACCTGTATTTTCTTCACTGTCTCTGCTGTGAGCCCCACAACTCCTTGTAACTAAGACACCAGATGAAACTGCCCATCCTTGACTTCTTTCGAGCTCTGAAAAAGATTTTAAGAGTTCTGGTCATAAAACTACACAGATGCTTAATCTGATTTCCTAGTAAGATCCATTAAACTCTGATGTACCAGGTCTGGCCCCAGAGGCAAGCCTTAGTC